TTCAACGCAGCAGGGGGCCAGCGCATGACATCACGACGCTGCCGACGGCCAACGAAGCTAGTGATGTCATGACATGGGAAGCAGTCAGAGACGTCTGACTGTGTACCTGCCAATTTTAACACCGACTCATCACGTTTCACCCAGGTTTGAACAAAACTGTTCAATATCTTCAAATTCTCGGACTTGCCGCCTTTCTGTTTGCACTCTTTTCCAGTCAAGGTCTAATGCCTGTAAAGTGGAACTTCATACTGATCCTAGCTCTTGCGAGCAACAATCTAAGTGTGGTGTCTCCTTGTTTGCACTTCCCACTTGATGATGCTAATGCCCTGGTGCTAGTTGAGTCGTGTTGGATGCAGAATCTGCGCAAGGAAGAGAAGCAGAAGCACACTTGTCGTCGTCGTCGCCGTCGTCATTGTTGAAAAATGATGGCAACGAAAGGAAAGACGTCGTTCCATGGTAGGCTAAATTTTGCACAGGCGGCCTTGCGGAAAGCAGACGAGAGTCCAGGACGAGTGGTTCCTGGGCACCATTTGCTATTTGTTCTGGTGAACGGCTTTGGCGTGGAACGTGGAACGGGATGTGGCATGATTTGCCACCAAGGTAATGCTGCTTCTGGATGCGGATGGTGAGCCCATCGCGGAGGTGCTGAAGCAAGTCCGAAGGCAAGGCGTGTCGACCACAAAACGGCCTCCAAGATCGTCCGGAGGGAACCCCATACAGAATGAACATTCCCTCCAGTTTGTGATATGTATTTTTTTCAGGGAATGCAGGGTCGAGCGGCGGGCCGGCTTCGATGCAGAATCGCGCCAACCAAGTTGGGGAAGCTATGATTCCAACACAAGAAACAATTATGTAATACTATGAACGTATATTCATGAATATGGATGAACGCCCCCGGAAATTATGACGACCGGTTTCGTTGACCTTTTTACTCATAGAGTTTGGCTCGAGCAGGGAATGAGCCATTGCAGAGATTGTGGCCTCCTGACTTCCGGGAGACCGATTTGCTTTGCTTTTTCTGTTGCTCCAGAAACCGCTTTTGGAGTGTTCTTGAAGATCTACCTGTTGGTCTTGGAGCTTGGGCGGTGAACTGTCTCCGCATTTGGACAGGCGTGCTACAAGAGGAAGGAGAGAAGTTTGCGGAGTTCGCCTGCCAGAAGAAAGCCGAGGAATTGGCCACAGCCAAAGCAAAAAGGGCCCGGCCTCGACTGATGCTCCCAACGAGTCAAAGAACGTGGTCCCAGCGCAGCTCCCTCCTGAGACACAGGGAGACGGAGAGTCAGAAGCCAAGCCTGACAAGAGTTGGGTGAGAGTAAAGAAGGAAGAAGAAAGACTTCACGGCCCATCCTACCGGGGAGTCAGGATTCCTTGAAGTTGAGAAAGAAGGGAGGTGTCCGAGCTCATCACGAATCCATCACAAGGAGAAACAGAGAAGATCAAAGAGGAGTAGGAGAAAGAGCCGAGATCACAAGAAGAGAGAAAGTAAGACCAGATCCAAGTCAAGGAGGAGACGCAGAAAGGGTTCGAGGGAGACCAGGTCAGAAGAACCTCGAAGAGAGATCTGCGAGGAAGAGAACATTGCTCGAGCAGCTGGCCGCGCGTGGCAGGGACCCATTCGCGTGTGGAAGCTGAACCCAAGGTACTTTGGTGAGAACAAAGGCCAGTCAGCGTCGAAGGGATGTACTCTGCATGTTGGCGGGGCTTGTGGAAAACTGCCACGCTCGATGTCAACGAGACGTGGAGCTCGAAGTCAAACCTCACAAGGAACAAGCGAAGAGAGCCTGTTGCGATGGGCATCAGGCCACGTGGAGCAGAAGGTTCCAATCCACATGTGGGCGCGAATGCCTAGACAAGCTCGATGGAAAGGACTTCACCCATGCAACCCTGATCCAGAAGAGATTAGGGGAAACCTTGTGGAGGAGTAGCCAAGAGGAGAAGAAGGTCGCGCGAGTGGTCTCCTGATCGTGGAGAAAGGGAGCAAAGAGAAGGCCGAGAAGGCCGTCGGCAAGAGAGACAATTGGAAAGGGAAGAAGCGCTGGCCGAGGCAAGGAGAAGATAGATCTGAAGGCTGGGGCTCGCAAAGAGCTGAGCGCGGCTTTCGGGGCCACGGGTCTAGTGGCCACGATATCGGCGCCGCTTTGCCTCGAAAGCTCAGAAGAAGGTCAAAAAAGGAAGAAGAAAAGAAGGAGTCTTCGTCCGAGGGGACGTCGCTCCATGCAGCGCCACCAGCCCATAAAGCGCCAGCGCAGGTGTTCAAAAAACAGCGGAAAATTCGATGACTAGCTCGACGAGCTCCAGGTGTGTTGTCGGCCTTGGCCATGGTGAGACGCAATCTACCATCTACGCTCCTCACCGCCACTGGTGGGGTTTGGAATCAGGAACGTATTTCCGCCAATCAATCGCCTGACGCTACGCTGGTCGATAGACTTGGCTCTGCAAGGCCGGCTGGCCGAACGCGTGGGCACATTGGTTCAACGACTGAAGTCAGTGGAACTTGTGTCACAAGGCGGTGTGGCAAGCGGCGCAGAGAGTATAGAAGTTCTCCCACCGGAGCACCCAGTTGTAAGTTCACGGGAAGAAGCCGAGGAGGCGATCCGAGAGCAGAAGGAGGAGCAGCGCACTCGCAACGAGGCGGAGAAGAATCGGGGCAAAGGAGACCAGTGGCAGTGGCGCGACTGTGGCCACAAAGACCGTGAAAAGGCAAGGACTTGAGAGGAAAGGGAAAGAAGGGCAAGGAGAAGAGCAAGCGAAAGAAATGAGGAGTGAGGCTATGGCAAGCAGGTACAGTGGGGCCTGGCGCCCCAAATCCAGAGCGCTCCATTTGAAGGGGAGCCAACGACTTCTCCAGGCTTCGCTGCCTGGAAGTCACGTCCACGATGACGGAATGAAGCCTGGCGCGGATGGATGGCTGGGTAATCCGGCCGAATGCCCGCAGACCTCAGTTAGTTGGTGAGACCTGACCTCGTCAGCTGAAAAAGAATGCATGAAGCCGTCGGTTGCAGGGGATGGGTTTGTATTGACAAGTTAACAAGTTGGTTCATGCATGTGACATCATTGGATTGGAGCTGCAATGCAAGACCCAGCCCAAGGGCGATGTGTTTCCATTGCCCACCACCTGTCACACCTGCGGGACATGACGGACCTGGACATGAGTGTTATCGGATGAGTGTTGTCGGTGTCGTTTGGGGGATTTGCGCGGCGCTGAATTTGTTCTATGGGGTTCCGGCTGAAAACAGTTTTCATTGTACATCCTTACAGGTTGAGGCTGTAAGATATTTAGCAAGAGAGGCTGAAGTGTGAGCGTTTGGAGCAGACTTCGTGGCAGAGTTTTCCAATTGAAGACCATTGCGCTCAGTCCACTGGGCCAACTTGGCACCGCCAGCAACGGTTTGGGAGATCGCCTCCGCCCGGATGGAGGACTTGTGTGAATTAGGACGCAAGCGATGTTGAACACTTTTGAAGAATACCTCCTTCCCGGGGAGACGCAGCTGGGGATGAAGAGGCACCAAAATTGGCGAGATGTTTGTCCAGGCCTCGTTCAAAGTTGCGTTTGTACCAGATTGCCTGAGCGAAAGATCCATCACATTGACGGTCGGCTTCTCCCGAACTCTTTGGAGTCAAGAAGGACGAGCTTGCAGAAGGTGCGCCGGTACATAGGCTGATCATGGATCCCGGACCCTGCATCAACGCGCTTCCGTCAGCCTTGCCCAACATGTCCACTGCAACATCACAAGGTTGGCCTCACAGAGGGTCGGAGGAGTTCTTCGACTGGAACAGGAGAGATCGTCCATTCGCAAGTTAAGTAGCCCAGGCGCCGTGGCCCTGAGGGCGGAATATGAAGTTTGGGGGGAGTACCCCAACGTCCAAAGAAAGCCGTCTCGCGAGCCCAAGTATAGAGGCGCAGGGTGCAATCATTGAAAGGGATTATTGCGTACCCCAAGCCTTGCAAGGTCTATAAGTATCTGGGTCTATAAGTATCTGGCAATTCATCGAATCGTTCAGGGGATATCCACCGCTCACCAGTCATCAAGCTGCCAATCCATGAAGGGGTGAAGATGGAGGTGGCTATAGGTTCCTATGTTTGACCGCTTGCCAAGCTGGATTTTCGCTTAGCAGCTTAGCGTCTGACGGCTTCAATCGGGGAGATCTCACAGAGGCGGCAGACGCATGTGGGTTGGCCATTGCGGGGCATCAGCGCCGAGGCCCGAAAGGAAGCGAATCGAGCGCTGGAGAGCAAATTCCCTTCTACCTTGTTTGTGGAAGGGGGAGTTGAGGCAGTTACAGAGGAGGAGGTCCGAAGATGGGGATGTGAGTTTTTGCTAGCGTCCCTTGTGTTGTTGGGCGCTGGCCCTCCTTGCCAGAGGGTTTTAGTGGACTCAATTCCGACCGTCGGGGGGCGCTCAGAGATCACGTCGATCGCATCTGCGGGCTGGTGAAGGAGAAGTTCCCAAGGGCGTAAGTTGGTACTTAGCAGAGAGCGCGTCTAGCATTCATGCACAGGACAGGAGGGTGATATAGGGTGATGTCGGAATCCTTTGCTGATAGGCCCTGCTGCTGCGTTGACGCATGCGGCGTGTCATTGGCCAGGCGACTTTCTTGGTGCGCTTGGGAGCTAAGGCCAGGTCAGGGCGCGGCCAGGTGTCTCGATTGGGGCTTGGGAAGGATTGGCTGGTTCAGAGTTTCGCAAGATGAGTTGACAGCAGAAGTGGAAGAGAAGAGCTACCTCAAAGCAGCTTCAGGGGAGTGCTCAGGATGAGGGCAAACGGAAGACACTCAATTAGCAATTCATTGATGTCACAGTTGTCGCACGGCTCATTTCTGAACTAGGCGCGCAGCCGGGATTACCGTCGCTCACCCCACAAGAGGCGGTCAGGCTCTTCGCGCGAATTCCTGGGCTTCTTTACCACCCTCCTATCTTGCGCGAAAGCTCCTAAACCTGGTGAGCCTCAAGAACGGGGACATCATCATCCAGGCGCCCTCTGAGGAAAGTCTGAGACCACAGACTTCGCGCGAGCCTGCCAGCAAAATTAACGTGGAGACGGCGAACAGTGATGCAACGTCCTGGAGGTGAGGGCGGTCCTGACTAGTATTCGACGGCGCATAATCAAGAAGCGGGCCTTCCAGTCCAAGATGGTCCACATGGTTGACAGTTTAGCGTGCTTGCATTCCTTGGCCAGAGGTTGAGGCAGCAGCCGAAAGATGCGGGGCACCACGGAGTATGGGCGCATGCCCATACTTCACAAAACCAAGCCGATAGGCCGTCAAGGCGGCCTGTGAAGAAGAAATGGTGAGAAGAGCGTCGGCGCGCCTTGAAGGTAGGAGTAAGGCTACACGACAAGCGCGGGGAAGACGGCTTGGACCAACTTCGCAACAGTTCGGAGCAAGACTAGAACGCACTATTGCTTGTGACTCAGTCGCTGGTTCAAGATTGTCATCCTTTCCTACGAGGACATCTACCCAGTGCGTGGAGACTGTTGAAGACTTACCGCCCAATCGGGCGCCGCCGCTCCCTCTAGATGCGCTACATGTAATGGCAGGGTATAGCCTCTTCAGCGACCGGCCCTTGTTCGCATGGTCGCTGCTCCTTGGTTTCCATGGGCTCCTTCGCGAAGGAGAGTTACTGGGCATACAAAAGGCACACGTCGTCAAGGCGGGGCCTCGCAGCCCAGCTGTGATATCCCTCGGCCTCGTGATGGGTGGAAAACGGGCCGGCGCAGTGGCTCAATACCCCCAAGGCCCCACCGCCTTTATGTGGGGCAGCTCATTCTTGGAGGAAGACTTTCAATGATTGCCTTCTAGCATGTCAGCTTGAGCGACGTGGTTTTCGGCCATGTAGCCTTCGACGTGGCGGGGCCACCCTGTATTTCGGGCGGCGCGGGTCCCTGGACCGTCTCCTGAGGTGGGCTTCCAGCAAGACTGTATATATATGTCAATGAAGGCTTCGCTGTTTTGGTTGAACTAAGACTGATTTGCTTTTGATGGAACAGCTCAGGCATACCAGCGTCAGTTTAGGCAATCCTTACGATCCCGTCTACAAACTCTTGAGCCACACCCTAAGGGAGGGAGATATGGAAAGAGGAAGAACCGGAAACGCGCCAAGTGAGAATTTGTTGAATTCAAATCCGCCGGCGGAAAAACAAAGAAGACCAAGGGGACTGATCGGACAGACTGGGTGGTGGCCTGGATGTTCAGTCTGGCGGGGCCCCGGACCACCCTAGATTCTCGGCTCGCACTTCCGGTCTGGAGGGAAAGGAGCCTCAATGGGTGCATTTGAATTTGTTCTGCTTAACTTTTCTTAACCACTTTGGTCTTGCATTGCGGTAGAAAAGATGGAGAAACCGAGGGAATCTTTATATATATATATATACATAGTTATATATAGATATTTATTTATCTATTATTTCTATATAAATCTCCGACGCTGTAGTGTTGGTGCATGGCACGGCTGCAGCTGCGTTTTGCGTGGCACGTCTGGCAGGGGCGGTGCTGTTCAAGGTCTTGTGGTGCTGGTGGGCGATCACCGTGGCTTCACGGGCGAAGACATGGAAAAATATGAGAAGGCGGGGCTGCGCGGGGCTATGGAGGACAGGCTCAAAAGGCTTAGGTGCTGGAAATTTGGGGGAAACTTTGGAATCTGGTATTGCAGATCGGATTAGAGTGCCAAGGGAGGGAAAGTTGTGGAGATGGTTTGGGATTCAAGTCCACAGTGCTCTATGTACTGTAATGGTTTGGCGGTTCCACGTTGACTCGCATTGAGCATTTGTGATCGTCCATCACTACACACACACACTGACGCTGATACTTCCTTAGGTCGTTCCGTTTTGCTCGGACATCTCCTTTTTCTTCAACGTTGAAACTCCGTGCCTTCAGGTCGCTCTGTCATCTGGCGCAGATGTCATTCGTGCTTCGTTGGGCGGCACAACACTCCTAGGCCCATCATTGTAGTCATTGATTTACGGAAAACGGGCGGATCCAGACTACATTCGTGATCCAATTTCCGTGAATTTTCCATGTATGCTTGCAGATTGCAGATTTCGCCCATTTTGTGTCAGGTTCCCATGCCATCGTCATCCTGCAGCACTACTTGGACGAGCACATGCATCGCTGTGAGGTGTGGAGATCCTGCGATTCCCTTTGCGCCCCTCCGGTGTGTCGACCGTGCCAGGTAGCCAAGCAAGTGGACTACGGTCGTGGACGGTGAAAACAAGTGTTGTGGTCGTAACGGTCGTGACGAGTGTCAAATGAGACCTTTTTCATAGACCCTTTGACAAGCCTGTCCTTTCCTGGCTTTCAGGGCTTTAAGCAGAGAGTCTTACAGCATACGCTACCAGGTACCAGTATGCTGAGAGTCGTCCACACTTCTACAGATAACTCTACAAAGAAAAAGATTGCAAAGGGGGTGCTTCACCCTTACTACTAGGAGCAAGGACGCTACTAGGGGCTCCTGGCCTTACTACTAGCCCCACAGATTAGATGAGACCTACGAGACTTTTCACTTCAGCTGTAGTTGTAGCTTGTATGGGAAGTGATGAGGAAGTATCATGTCCGTGTTCCGAAAAGATGAGACGGAAAAGCTTGGCATTCAATTCAACGGGCTGCCTCCAGGTCCGCTCAGTGTGAAAAGCATTGCGGAAGGGTCCTGTGGGGACATTCGAGGAATCGAGGAGGATGATGTTTTGCTACAGGTTGGGAATGAAAACCTACAGTCCCTTGACGATTTGACTGGAGACGCTTTCAAAGCCTTCCTGAAGGCAAGGCCTGTACAGATGGTGTTCGAAAGCAACAAGGACCCTTATTTAGCCTATGCTGATTCTAGCGTTGCGAAACTTGGGATTACCTTCAATGGAATGCCACCAGGCCAGCTTCGTGTGAAGTCAGTCGCAAGCGGAGAATTCGGATCACAACAAGGAGTTCATGAAGGGGATGTGCTTCTTCGTGTTGGCAAAACTGATTTGGTCAGCTTGGAAGGATTGAGTGCAGAGGACTTTAAGAGCTTTCTCAAGGATCGTCCGTTGCGTTTGGAGTTCACATCGGCTGCACC